CCCCCACCCCCAGCAGCTACTCTGTATAATTCTTGATGTCCGACACGACGCCTTGTACGACGACAGTGAGGTTCAGCAGTCCCATTGTGATGTTGTGGACTGTCATTGTGCCGTTGGTGCCATTGTTGTATGCCGCCACCGTGATGTTCTGCAGAGCCTCTCTGTAGTTGAGCAGCACGTCTGCTACCCCAAGCAGGATGGTTGGGGTGAGGGTCAGCTTCTGGTATGCTTGGTTGGCCTGCTCCTCCTGGCTCTCGGTGTGCCACCAGATGAGGAGATAGATACCGACCGTGATGATCAGTACCCAGAACAGGGTCTGTTGACACCAGAGGAAGAAACCCTCGACAGCAATCTCCAAGGCGAGCATCAGCGTGTTATCGTCATCGGTCTTCAGGCAGGGGCAGACATGCTTGGCCTTCTTCTCATCCTCCGGGAGACTCATAGCTGCTCTCGTTGTGCAATAGAGGAAGCCAGCAGTCATGGTGATGCCGATGATTTGATCCACGAAGTGCGCGCGGGCAATGAACGTGTGCGGCAACAACAGGGTGAATCCGGCCACCACAATGCACCCATGTGCGATGAGCAGCCAGCCGAGCGTCTGCCAGCCCTTTTCCCAGGCGAAACTGCGGCCGACGATATCCTAACAAAAGGTGTACTGTTGCGGTTGGAGACCTTGGATCTGGAAAGCCGCCGTAACCGTAGCCATGAGTTTCCTGCGTGGGGGGGACTCCCAGGTGGCTCTCTTTCTCGCTGTCGTCCGTCAGCCGCACCAGGATGCGACGCAGAGTTTGTCGAGGAGCCGGGCGATCACACCTCGGACCTGACGGAGGTTTAGGGTTCAGTGGGGAGATCTTCCATTTTCTCCTCAGGAGGTCTCCTTGGGCGGCAACAGGGAGCACCATCAGATCCGTCTTGTCATTCCGGTCTCAGTGATACGCGGATCTTCCCCCACCCCTGTCGTATTGGGTGAGCACTCCTCGTTCAAGGCCGGTACCGTCCTCTCGGTGAGGCGGGGCGGCCGAACCAGGCAGTAGCCGGCCCGTGCGTCCTCCTCCCGGATCCTGCTACGGGCATCCTCCCGGATCCTGCTACCGAGCCGGCGCCTCGGGATAACACTTGGAGGGGAGATTTGAACTTCGGACACACAGGTGACGCCTTCGCTTGCCACACAGGTGACGCCTTCGCTTGCCACTCGGACATGTGTGCCATCATCACCGGCTCGAGGCATGAGTGACGGCCCACCGCCGCCACCTTCCTGCGAGGCTGAAGACACTCGTCAATGCGACATCTGCTTTGAGGCACGGCCCCTCTCGGACTTCGTCAATGTCCATCGGGGCGATGCTGCACCACCGCCGGGCGGCCGTGTGCAGGGCCGCCGCCGCCGGGATCCCCCCGTCCACGAGATCTGCCGCTTCTACGTGGTGCAGCTCGGCGACCAGCGAGGGCGGCAACCCTATCGGCACCGCCATTTGGAGCCGATCCCATGGCGCCGAGGCTGCCAGCACGCCAGCTGCCCGTTGTGCCGCCAGGCGTTCTGCCCCGAGTGCGTCCTCGGTGTGGACTCCCTCGATGAGATCCCCGTTGATCCGCTAGCCCCACCTCCGGCCAACCCCGAACACCCCGTGTGCCCCGGGTGCTCTCACCCTTACCCGGCCGACGCCTTCGAGCGCGTCCCGTGTGTGTACCGCTCCTGCATGTGCCGAGAGTGTCTGCGGCAGGCCCGCCGCGACCGGCCGGGCGAGGTCATCTGCCCCTACAGCCACATGCCGGGTCACCTCCACTGGCACCAGATCCTGATGAACCTCCTGCAGCGGCATCCTGCGCAGCTACAAGCCCATCCGCTCCCGGGCCACCGTGAAGGGCTCCTGCCGCTGCCGGAGTTCTCCCGCCACATGCAGCGTGTGCATCAAGGCCTGTGGCGCCTCGATGTCGGGCAGTGGCAATGGCTGGCGAACCCAGAGGACTACGGCCTGGAGGACCTGCTGCGGGTCGGGAGCCTGGCCGGTGCAAACTTCCCCTGTATCCTCCCCTCTCTTCGCCAGTTCGTCGCCCATGGCGCTGCCCTAGTGTCCCATGGAGGGGCGGTGCGCCCTCTCTTCCGCGTGATCGACGAGAACGCCGAGGGGAACAACTGCCTGCTTCGAGCTGTCCTCCGCCAGCTTGAAGCTCATCGTCGTCGGCGCGCAGCAGACGGTCTGCCCCCCGCGGACCGCCTCGGCGACGCGCTGCCGTCCCCTGCCGCCGTTCGCCGGCACCTCGTGGATGACCTTCGGCGTCGCAGCGGTGCGGGTGAATTTGCCGCCGTCCAGCCTCAGGGGATCGGCACCGAGGCCTACATTGAAGGCATCCGGCTTGGAAGAGGCCTGAGCGAGATCGAGGTGCAGTCGGTGGCCAACGTTGTCGGGGCGACCATCGTGGTTTGCCGGGTACATGAGAGTATGTCTTTAGAGACGACCGCCCCCCTCCCCGTGGCAATCGGGCTGTTCGTCGACCCAGAGCAACAATTTCGAGTCGCCGGCAGCCCTGCCATCCATGTGCTCTACATGCCCGGCCACTTTACCGCCATG